CTGAACACCTCCATCATGCTTTGAGTTATTTGTAAAAACCATTGGCATTTGCCTCATTCAATTCAGGATTTGGGTTGAGTAAGAACATAGTCCTAATTTATGCCATTCTGTTCTGATATTTGTGAGTTCTTAAGAGTACTGTTCTTTAAGTAGTTCATTTTGAAACTGTGTTAAAATAAATTATAATTATTAATATATTTTTCTCATAAATGTCTAGCTGTATCCTATCTTGATCAGTGTTGTGAATTTATCATCTAAACAGTGTGTAGAAAAATCAGTGTCCATAGATAAGCACAATATAAAACACATCCTTGCAATATCTCCAGAACAATCAGACAAGCAGGGTGCTTTTACTGAGAAACTGAAAAAGTACCAATTTTCTGCTTAAGAGCAAGTCATAGCAATATTGCTCAGGTAACACTTTGGATATAACAGTTGGGATGCTAGACAGGCAATTCTTTAAAATGGTAAGACAAAATATTTTAGAGATTAGAGACTGTAGCAAAGGTAATATTTTTCAGGAAAAGACTTCAGCTGATGGGCAACTCTTACTAACAAACACAGCATACTTCTTACCTCTGGTTGTTGGAAAGTCGACAAACCATCATTTCTGTTCTTTCTGATGTCTCTGGAGTTACAAAGAATGTAGCACCTCAAAATTCCAGGAGCAGAAGAGAAAGAATTAAAGATAAATTTTTTAAAGTACAGTATCATTAAAACAAGCTTAAAATTGTGGTTCTCAATCTTATTATATAGAGTTAATGTTTATTAACCTTTCTCAGATCTATTTTTAAGAGGAAAAAGAAAAAAATGCCATTGCTATAGTGATAACAATTAACGGGCCTAAATGTGTTCCATTAATAGAAAAAGTTCTAGCCTAGTTCTAGTCTCGCCTTAGGCATGAAAGCCGACTGGGTGATTTTAGGCCAGTCACTCTCTCTCAGCCCAACTCACCTCACAGGGTTGTTCTGTGGGGAAAATAGGAGGAGGAAGGAGTATTAGGTAAGTTCGCCACCTTGAGTTAATTATAAAAATAATAAAGACGGGATAAAAAAAATCTAAAAAGAAAAAAAATGCAGCTGAAAAATATGAATTACTGGAAAAATATTATTTGGAAATACTTATCTGCAGCTTTATCTATATCTGAGGACAATTTCAACTCATGATACAATATAAAGATTTCAAATAGACTGAAAATAGAATTAATATTTAACAGTTTAATGAGCCACTTGAAAGAAACCAATTCTATGGTTTATTTTAAATTAAAAATACTTTGTTAAACAGTTTTAGCTTTCAAATGTAAGAAATCCTTGTTGTTTATGTTGAAGATTTCTTTGTTTTTAATCTTAATATCTGAAACAAAACCATTTACAAATTAAAATGCTCAGAATTTGATGGGGCTTGAACTTGAATATGTATTAAGTACAGGCAAAGTATTATAAAACAATATATTCTTCAAACTTTCCACAAAAGAACAAATTTTCATAGTACTCCACTGCCCAAATAAAAACCATTGTACAATTTCTTGAATGTCATATTAAAATGAATATGTGTTATGGGGAGAAAGCTATTAGAGAACATCATCTAGAAAAAATGATTTTGCCATATCAAGATTATTCCCATTACAGTGGAACAGAGGTTAACCATTTTTCATTCTGGAGTGCAAACATGCACTTATACCAGAAAAACACAAGCTGCAGAAAAACACAAGCTGAAGCTCCAAAACTTATGTGGACTCAAAACCTTCAGTACATTCCCCAAAGACCTTCAAACATTGTTACTGAAGTGTAATTACTAAAGGGAAAATGGTAAAATATGTGACTAAAATTGTATGAATATTAGCCAAATTTAACAAAATCAGATATATTTCCTATCCTCTACTATCCACTACTGCCCTTGATATACCGCTCAATGGCCAAGTGCAATCTTTGGCCAGAACAAATTTCACAATCCTGATTTATAGTTATTTATTTATTTATTTATTTATTTATATTTATTTATTTATTATTAAATATATCACCCAAAACAAACTCTTATATATTATCTTTTAGCAAGTCAAACAAGAATCTCCAAGTTCTCTATACACAACACTTACCATTCATAAGCACTTTGAGCTGCCTGTCATAGAACTCTGTTTCTTTCTGAGAAATGAGACCACATTCAGCACACTGGCGTACAGGGTCAACAAAGCACATACGAGGCAGAGGCACTTTCTTGCTGCAGCATTTGTCACAAAAGCACTTTCCACATCTCCTGCAGTGGTGCTGGGGTGGAGGTACCAGAAAAAAAGAAAAATGGTTCAGCAAAATTGGATCTTTATGTTAAAAATGTTTGATTCTGGCCTATCACAATTTCCATAGGGCAGAGGAGAAATAAATTCTACAGCGGAGGTACAAGGAGCATGAAGAAGATAAAATCCTGATATGCCTTGTTAAAAAAATGCCAGAATGATTACAAAAACAAAAAACTTGTAGAAAAAGGTCTGATCTAGGTCTGAACTTTCATGTGCTCGAGAAAGCTGTCTTTGCAGGTCATATTGCACTACTCCCTTAGTTTCCGTGGAAGTCTAGCAATCAGTCCATGGAAGTGCAGAGTATAGTAAACAGCATTTTCCTTTCCCTGTTCTAAAAAAACAAGCACATTCAGTAAGTGTTAAGTTTCAGCATGCCAGAATTCATGCTTAAATACTTAGCTTAGCTAAAAGTTATATATTTAGAGAAAATAAACAGTGCTTAACAAAGTTTGTAATCTTCATACCTCATCACAAAACCAATAAATACATAAATAAAATGAGATACCCCATCCCCATCACAAAACCAATAAATAAATACATAAATAAAATGAGAGAGAGAGAGAGAGAGAAAAAGAAAGAAGGGGGGGGCGGGCAGGCAGGCAGGCAGGCAGGCTGGCTCTGTGGAAGTATTCATACAACACACAAAGCCACAAGCCAACCACATCTTATACTTAAAGCACTGTGTAAATTCTACCAATATAACTTTTAAGGGTTAGTATACTGTGGTTTTTTAGTACAACTGTGGTTTTTTTCAATAGTCCATCGTTAAGCTGTCAATAGCTCAATATACTGTGTGAAAATGACATATGGTCAACCCAAATACTTCCTTCCCTATCTGAAATAGACTGCCTATCCAAACTATATTTATCACAAAAAAAAACCTTTGTGATGAGAAATTTTAGGGCTACTAGATCAGAATTGCAACAATCTGGATGATCGCTAGATGGCAGCAGAGCTAGAGTGTCCTGTACCTCTGTTGCCATCTAATGGTCATCCAGATTTTTGCATTATACAGCCCTATGCAGTATTCTTATATCCACAGTCCTGTAACAGTTTTTGCTACTGTAGTTGCCTATCAAAAACTCAGTGAAGTTTCTACACCACAAATCAATTACAATATTTGAGAAAGTGTAAAGCATCATACCTACTATCACAATGGCTAAATCCATAGATCATGCAAAGCCATAATTTGACTTATTTCATTTAAACCTCAAGTTATGTATGAACCTAACCACTGTGGCTTTTAACTTAAAAGTTACTTAAGTACAACCAAGACAAATGATTTATTCAACAAATCAAAGTTAAATACATCCTGAATTAATATGTGTGAACCCAGCAAATCTGTAGTATCAAGAAGTGCTCTATATGTAATGTTCTACTTTAATATGTACTATCTGTTTTAATGGCCTGACTAAAAAGACATCTGATTAGAGACTGAGCCCTAATTGCCTCCAGGATAACAATGTAAAAAAGAGAGAGACAGATTTGTGAAAGTGCTTATTATTGCATATGTAATGTGCAATAGTCATGTATAGTAACTTCCTGGGTTCGGTTATGATTAAAGCAAATGATAATTATGAAGGTATCATCCATGTACTGAATATTTTAAAAGTGTCCACAGTGCAGTTCCAAGAAGGTAGAAAAGCCATAAAGAGAAGTTGGTATCACTATTAAGTGTGTTCACTACAAACTACCACTATCCTAAATGCTGCAGCATTTGGTATGCAGAACATTATAGTCAACAGCTAGTGACTGTGGCAAGGACATTTTATTGCTTTCAGGGGAATACTTTAGGATAAATTTGCATCCAAACTCTTACCTTTCTGGTTATGAAGTCAAACTTTGTATTGCACTGCATACATCTAGGACACTATAAAATAATAACGCAAAGATATTAAAGTTTGACGGTTTCAGCCAAGGATTAAAAGAATATATGGCATACTACATGACACAATTCTAAAGTTTCATTGGTTTATATTAATAAGTTTCATAAAATACTTCTACAGAGATAATTTTCCGTTCGATAATATTTTCCTATTAAAGAAAAAAATATAAGATCATCTGTAGTTCAAATTCAAGCACAGTGAGCATGATCCAATTACAGGACTACTTTCTGAGAACACATCTAAAGCCCAGATTTAACACTGCTTGAAATCAATCTCAATAGTTATACTTTTTCTATTTAATTTTTGTCCTTTCATTAAATGATTCCTGCCCAGCAAACTGCTTTTCTTAACCTTTATACTGTAGAATATTTTCCAGAAGAGCACTTGAAATATCACTTTACTTAAAAGAAGGCTAAGGACCAATTATATATTGGACATAAAAATATGTTATATGGGGAAAGGGGAGGTAACCCTGAAGAAACAGATAACTACTTAATATTATTCTTTGCATGTGTTGCTATGGAAACTTATATTTTACAGGATTCTTAATCACAAAGTTCTCTTCATCCACATAAGGACACTATATACTACCAACATTTTTCATAATTCATGGAACATGAAGTATGTTGGGCTGCTGTGAAATGTACTTTATCCAGTTATTCTTGCACAATATTCTAGGCTCCAACAGGCTTCAACCTACTTTCTAGACAAATATTATTTCTGACATCATTTAACAAACATCCCAGAACTGGTATTGTTTACAATGTTGTTGCAATTTTATACTGTATTTTGATAATCCAATATTTTCCAGTATTTGACAAAATATACACAACACATTTGGCCAAGCATTTTATTTTTTATTCTGTTGCTGTGTGAACCCAGCATGTGTAATTTGTAAAGAATGATTTATTACATGAATGTTGTCAATTCTAGTTCGTTCAGTATGTTGTGGGACTGCTGCTACTGAGTATATTTGCATCTTTCTTTCTTTTTTTCCTCCAACAGTGGTTCTGAAGCACTGACTGCTCTTCTGTCACTTCTGCCTTTTAAGATTCTGCAGTTTCTACTTTCATCCCAGTTTTTCCTTCCAAGCCTTGATTTGTTTCCTTCAAGCCCAGATCTCTTTAGGTATGTGGTCTGTTTCCTTAATGATTTCATGAATGGGGACTTCCTCCCAGAATACCTCTCCCTTCAAATCCCTCATCAAAACTAGTTTCTTCTACAAAACTTACACTTAATTCCTCACCCATTATTGAAAGTAAAGCTTATTTTTGAAGATCTAAACTCAATGCATGTTCTTTCAATTATCTCAAATATTTCCAACAGAACTTCACTATGAAGTACAGTAATAGATAAGTACCCCTCAAATGAAGTCACTACTGTTTTCTACTCAGACACCCCCTGCTTGCGAACAGAAGAACAACATAACAAGTTCCAGCCCCATTTTTAGGACGCTGTTCTGATGTTCTACTTGGAAGGTGATTTTAAGGCAGAACGTTCAAAGAATCGACCCAGTGCCTGCAGGGCGATCAATCGCATCCTTGAGCTCACAGCAGGACTTTCATTCCAGGCGAGAGAAAAGCAGGGAAGGGGAAGAGACCTGAAGGTGAAAAATAGGAGGTAAGGCGGAGAGCCCAATTTAGGTTCCGCAAAGGCCTGCTTTTCCATGGTCCACTCGGTCTCAAGGCGAAAAGGGAGGAACTATTGAAGGGACAGGCTTCGGCGGAGGGCGGCAGAGACTGAAGGGGAGAAGGAGGTATACTGTACAAGGTCTAGACCTGAGCCGCCCTACCACCGTTACCTCCTTATCCGGCACCCACGGCGGCTCTTCCAATCCGAAGGGGCTCTGCGCAGCCCGGCATTCGGGGACCATTCGGAGCCCACTAGGGGAGCGGACCAACTTTTTGCCATCAGGGGCCTCGCGGCCCGACATTTTCACCTCAGACCTCGGAGCACAGCCGCCGCCACACGGCGACGCGCCCAAACCACCGACCCACCCCAGCCACCCAATCGGAAGCCACTGCCCCACCACAGCCATCCAATTGGTATTAGACTCACTAAAGATAGACGTCTCTCCTGGCCAATGAAAGTCGAGAAACGTTTCTCTTCGCGGAGCAGAGCTGTTGTTTTCAGCACTACAATGGTGGGCCGACTCCCCCCCCCATTTCCCCCCCAGCCCCCGGGCCCCACCCCCCCCCCGCACGGCGAGGCGCCCAAACAACCGCCCCCCCCCAGCCACCCAATCGGAAGCCACTGCCCCACCACAGCCATCCAATTGGTATTAGACTCACTAAAGATAGACGTCTCTCCTGGCCAATGAAAGTCGAGAAACGTTTCTCTTCGCGGAGCAGAGCTGTTGTTTTCAGCACTACAATGGTGGGCCGACTCCCCCCCCCCATTGATGTATACTTCTCAACCAATCCCCTTCAAGGCATGTCAGGCACAAATAGGAAAGTGAAATGGGGAGGGAAGAAAGCGAGAGGAGGCTCGGACGCGCGCAGAGAAGAGCATACAACGCCGCATGCGCCGTTTACGTTGACAGCAAAGCTTAGGAAAAGAAGCGGACGGGCGAGGCTTTCGTAGTCCTGATTGGTTATTAACTCTCCTCAGCACTCTATGATTGGCCCACGCCTTCCGCGGGCTAGGCTGACTTCTGGTTGGCGCCTTTCTCTTTTCTGAGGTTAGAATCGTTATTTGCAGGTAGGAAATAGTTTAAAAGTAACTCTTGCCCGTTGGGGTTTTTCAGTGGAGTTTGAGTTGGATGGCTTTTGTCCGACTGTCAGCTTTTGAGAACTCTGTTTAGCTTTCCAAATTGGATTATCTCAAGTTTGTCTGCAGTTCTGACGCTGCAATCGCATATGTGCTCGACAAGAACTAAATACTGAAATCAGCACGTGGAGATTTACGGAGTACGGCACGTTCAGGTTTGTGCCAAGGATTGTCAACGTACTTGTAAGTCAAATGAAATTAATCATGCTTACTTTCGGAATAAACTTTGTACTGTAGTTTTAAACTTCATTTTATTTTTATGCAATGCATTCATTCCATGATGGACTGAATGTAGTCAAAGCAAAACGAAGGGGTCAACCACACACACACAAAAAATCACTTAGGCAACCCAGATGATACAGTTATGAAACACAGGTTTATCAAGGTCTAAGACTCAGTGTTATCCGGGGTTGGGGGTATTATACCTCCAAATACTCGTTGCAAAGGGAGGATGCTGGGAGAGAGGAAAGTCTCCACATCCTCCTTAAGGATATCTCAGAGGTATATCCTTGGCCATTGTGAGACGAAAATACTGGACTACGATGAGCTTGGCCTATTTGAACAGGAGTCTTCTTATGTATGCAACGAAGGTAAGTCTTTGCAAGATGGCAAAATGCCAGTAGAAAAAGCCAAACAGATCTTCTAAGGCTGAAAGTCCACAAATAGCATATTTACTTTTTATGCTGCGGCAATATTTCAAAGAATTGCAAGCTTTTTTATTCTGCAGACTGGCAGTTGTATAAATGGTAGGCTTCCATCTTAAAAAGCTACTCATATTAGAAAGTGAAAGTAGGTGTGATGACAAAAAGGGACCTGTAAAATTGGTATTAAAGCAATACCTTCGTTACTTAGTAAAGTTCCATTGAACCCAAGTGGGACATTTGTTTTAATAAAATTGCCTAAGATTGTGCTGCATGTGCAGGTAGGAAATACTACAAGTTAGGCTGAGTGGAATATACTAATTGGGTCAAAAACATCAGTGAACTCCATGACCAAACTTGAACTAGTCTAAATATCTAAGCCACTGCTCTACATTGTAAGAGTTGGCATGATGTAAGAAATGTTCAAGCCCATCCTATATTTATTTTCCAATATGTGTGGAGATTGTAGAATCACATGAAGGGTCATAAAGAGGGTCTTTTTAACATCTCCAGTGCTTGCTCTTATTTACCCAGATACTCAGGATGTGTAGAAACAAACGTACAAGTGTTGAATGAAAAGTAATGCCTCCAGGGTTACAGGTATCCAGGACATGACAATACTAATGCGCTAGGAACTCTGATGTATTTTTAAGCATCTGTTCTTTCACTTCAATTGGTGGGAAATTGCTGTGAGAAAAATTGTGTTGCTGTCACTTGTGAAATGGAAGCCTGCAATGAGTTCTTGTCAGTGCCCTTTAAGCAATATGCTGTGATTGAATTTTTGACAGGTAAAGAAGTCCCTCCAGTTGAAATTCAGTTTGTTTATAGTGATGATTGTGAAGAGAGTACTGTGTGTTGCTGGGCCAAAAAGTATAAAGATGGTGAACCAGAAAGAGCTGATTTGTGTAATCAGGAAAAAAGTGGACAACTTGTGACATCAGTCAACAAGGTTCACATGAGAAAGGTTGATGAACTGATTAAGGACAATTGGTGGATCACTCAAAGGAAAATTGCTATGAAACTTGGCATTTCACTGGAACATGTGGGTCACATTACGGTATTGATGATCTTCAGTATTGGAAGGTTCATGTAAAATGGGTTCTTTGCATGCTGGCAAGAAAGAGAAAGCTTCAGAAGTTGAAATTTGACAGCAGTTGTTGTCACGCTACAAGAATGAAGGTAAGGAATTTCTTCACAGTATAGTGACAGCCAACAAAACATTGGATGATCATTATGATCCAGAAACAAAGCATCAGTGGATATCATAGAAAGCACCATGGAATATCATGAGAAAACTTCGCTTGTGAATATTTTTTTTGAAACCTAGGCTTCAGCAGGAAAACTCATGCATGGTTACTTTTCAGGGGGATGCAGATAACTTTATTCACATGGATTTTCTAGAACCTCTCATCACTGTCAACTCAGTACATTGCAACGCTCAAAACTTTGAAACCACTATGAAGCAGAGTTTGAAAACACCAGAAGGAAATTTTGCTGCAACATGACAACACTAGGCCTCATACTTCATGAGCTACCCAAGTGGTAATTGTGAAATTGTGTCTCACTGTTTCACCTACAGTCCAGATTTGTTGCCATGTGACTTCAACCTTTTACCAAAATTGAAGGAATAAGCTTTGTGGGCATCTGTCTGACTCGAAGAGGTGGAAAGGACTGTCAAGGCCTGGTTATAGAGGCAAAGTGTAGAGTTCTTTCATGATGGCTTTAAGAAGATTGTCTGTCATTGGAAGAAATGTGTAGTAAATAGAGATTATGTGGAGAAGTAAATACAGGTAACAAAAGAATTCATTTCAATAATTATTTTCCTTTTCATTTATTAAAATATCCTTACTTAAACTAAAGTCATAGAGATGGAAGCATTATTTTTCATTCAACTATTGTAGGTTTAGAATCTTTTATTCACTTTCAGAACTAAAAGCTTCATTCATATTTCCCCACACATGCTATCCTTCTCAATATCTAACAGGCTAGGTTAAGTCTGAGTACCAGAAGAATAGAGGAGGGGAGCTCCTTACTCATAGTACCTTATTCTGTGTGATTATTGTAAAGTACCGCACTTGCATCCACTTTCACAACATTCAACATGTCTTGGCCAATCTCATGCCTCCTTATACTTTTCCACCTAAGTACCATTGTCTCATCCAGTTTATGTGTGAACCATTCTTCACTCCTCCATTCTTCACCCATCCATTCTGATATTTTTTTCATATGCTACATAACCTGAAAGTAACCAAAACAAACCTATTTGCCTCTGCTTTGAGTGTGTCTCATGTACTTCATTTTACAAGTAGTTGGCACAAAGAACCAAGCAATTGCAAATCAGTATATAACACTGGTAACATATGACAGCATTAAAGAAAATCAGAAAAATAATGCTGAGATCAAGAAGTGAGGCTGATGAGAAAAACTACCTCCAGTCTTTCTGTAAGCATCTTTCCAAAGCTGTATCTTACTCACTTTTCTTCCTCTATGGTATTTAATATGTGCGGCTCTGCATTTGTGAAGAAATGGACTGGGATAAGTTTGAAATGAACCCTAGAGTGATTGCAGCTATTAAAAAAGGTAATATAACTGTTTATGAATCCTTGTTTTATATTGTATACCATCCCTGTATCATTTTGATATATAAATTGTACGAGAAAACTTTCTCTTGCTATATTTGACTGGGAGATTGAATAGACTGCTGTTGCAAGTGGGTAAATTCACATTTAGGTAATGCACTTTGTAACTAAATCTGCTGATTTTGATGAGGTTAGATATATCTAGATCTGAAAAGGAACTAAGGTTGCAATCTGCGATTTTTAAGAACAAGCCCTGTCAGGCTCACTTCTGAATAAACATATGTGAGTGTGTCTGTAGCTGTTGGGAAACTTAGCCTTGCGCTCATTGCTAACCTACAATTCCCAGGAACCCCATAAAGTATAGCCAATGGTAAATGATGCTGTGAATAGTTTAGCAACAGTGAAGAACTGTAGTTTCACAGTTTTGCTTTAGAAAAAGGTACCTGCATAAAAACAGCAGTCTTGCCTCTGCATAATAATTGATGGTGGCAAGCTGTTCATGTCTACTTAGAAATAAGTTGCATTGGGTTGAATGGGGCATACTGAGGTATATGATACAGGATTCCAGAGCAAGAGTAATTATGGTCTGTAAGCCTCCTCCTTTTCAAATAAACAAATCTATGCTAGTTACAGTTAATCAATTTTCTCATTTCAGCAAATATAACATCAATTAAAGACATTTTCCATCTTTCGGGATCAGATTTGCAAAGGTTAACAAAGCTATCCAGGACAGATGTACAATATCTACTAAGAACAATTTCTAGTGCATTGAGAAAAAACACTGTTCTTACAGGTAAATCTTCAACTAGCTTTTTTTTTCTAATTAATCAATTTAAAAAAATATTAGAGTACTATAAACCTATAAATTTGAGGTATGGTGGGATTTGATTTTCCAGATTTCTGTTAAGAATATAATCAAGCCATTTAACTTGCTCTAAGATTTGAAGTGTTTATATCATAAGATGATAACAAGGCACCTTTGTCTTCTCCCTCTAATTCTGATAACTTGTTTTTTTCCTTATTCCCTGTCCCTTCCCACCTTGTATTCTTTTCCTACTGCCAGAAAGAGAACACTGTGCTTTTGCTGAAGGTCTTAACTGGGTGCCTGCAGAGGATTTCTGAACAAACTGATTAAGAGCCTTTTGTGAACAGCTTCAGGATATCTGGTGTGGGTCTTCCGGGCTGTGTGGCCGTGTTCTGGAAGTTTTGTTTCCTAATGTTTCG